AGTCAGGAAGCAGACTACTTGAGATTTCTAAAATTTAGATATACCAAGCAGTTCACACTGCTTTAGATTGTAGTGATACCACTCTTTACTTGGGGACATTTTAATCTGACTAACTCATCGCATCTAGAATCACAAATTAAAAGAGAAGCCTGTTCAGGAGCCCTTCTAATGTCCAGTTACTAAACTGATGTAAAGACTTCAGAAGAGACTTAAGTACTCAGGAGAAAGGACAACATATTTCAAAGAATTGTCTTAATTATGGTTTAGGGTACAACAAATTATTTAGTCATAGTGCTCATCTAGTAGACATTCAACACGTACATATCATGGTCACAGAAATATATCTTCCCCATACTTAAAATCTTGTTGAATGTATGTATTTATAAAATAGGATTTGGTGAAAAAAATAGCTAACCTAAACTTTTCTGAAAGTTAAAACTATCTTTTTCTCCTTGGATATCACTATAATTCTAAGTAGCTATTATTTGCTTTCTGTAACAGCAGAAGCATACTGCCGGAAACTCTCTCCAACTCTGGAGAATAAATATGAGATGTGGCTTTATATTACTAAATAAAAAACTGAAGCTGACACTTTCTAAGTTTCTTTTACCAAAGTTAACTTCTGGTTTTGAAGCCCAAAACACATGACAAAAAAAAACTTTTTGCAATTGGCTGAGTCATTACTAATTTCAATTTACTCTATACCAGGATAGGAGCACCTTCCCTTGACCAGCTGGCAATTCCCTAAAACTCACATTTTAAGACCCATGGGTATATTTAGTTCCTGCATTAAATTCTTTCGGCTCATCCTGCCATTGCTGGCTTTGCAATTGATTGGTACCAATCTCAATGTTCTGCCTTTTTGATATAAATGCTAATCATATATTTCTCACTACCTTCTTTCTTGACACAAATCTGGCAAGGACCCCAGCATCCAGTTGACTGCAATCTTAGGAAGCGGGAGCGCAGAGCAAGAAGGTTGAGGACTATTTTCTTTTATTTTCTTCAGTTTAGGAAATAAGAACTGTAAGGTGTGCTGGCTCACATACATAGGTTAATGGTCTGACCGCCAAATACCTAAGAGTATTCTCGGTATGTCAGCTTTGGGAACTGAAAATTGAATAAGCAGCAATAATGAAGTTCCTTTTTACTCCTCTGCTATCTCTTCTTGTCATCACATATGATGACTTTGAAAAGTCAGTAGCTTTCTAGTACTTCCGCTCAGAATGTAAAATGAGGTGTTTACTCTTTTCCCATGACACTTCAAAGGACCAAATCCCCAAAATAACTTGGCAAATTATCACAGAAAACCAGCATTTCCATGGTACAAAACGCATCAGAAATGAAGCCATAGAATCATTTAACATAAAAAGCTCATTTTCATTCATTTTAGCAATAAGATTAAATGCCTTCCATGAAGGCAAATCCAGTATTCAGAATACACAGAATGTTTTATAACTTGATTTTTTTATGAACTCCACTATGCACATGAGCTTTTCATTGACACGTTTGCATCCTTCATATACCTTATTCTATTTGATACATCTGCTGACTGAAATGCCCCTAATTAACTGCTTTACCTATGTTCTTTCCCTTGTAACACACATTCCAGTTATTTATTTATTGTCAATCACTATAAATGGGTTGAAAACGGTGTAGGTGGAAAAATGAGAACAGAGGAATGCTCTTCCTAAGTTTAGATCAAAGAATCTGTCAACTCAGAAATAAAATTATCAGAAATAAAGATGCTACTTTGGTTTAAAATACATATACACACAGCTATTAGCTAGCTTTACCATTATGTATTTCAAAATTAAATAAAACTTTAAAAATTGAGGGGAAAAATTATATCCAAATGAGCAATATTTAGAGAGTGTACAGAAAGGTGAAATCTGAAGCCTATTCAAAAGCATACTTGGTAGCACTGGAATACATGCTTTCATTTGACTCCTCAGAGAAAACAGAGAAAACTAACATTTTGTTTATCTTCACGCCTTAAAAAGAGTTTTCTCACAACATGAGACAATATAGCTGCCACCTTGATGGAAGGCAATTAAGTCTTTGCAACTCTGAACAACATCCACGGCAGTAAAGTACAGCTTCTTTGCACCAATAAGTATATGATACATATTTATTTGAATGTTAAGAGTAAATTTTTAGAAATCAGTAAAAGCTCAGTAAAGAAAGATGCCTAAATTCACTGAGACCATAATGGTACTTCCAAAGACCAGGTAAAAGCAATAGCAGCACTTTCAGCTTTGCCTAGAAACAAATGCCCTGGAAAAGAGTGCTTTTTTCACACCATTATATATAGCATATTATAATAGAATCACAAAAGGACTACAAACTGTTGTGCCTGATTGAATATGTAAGCATTCGTAGAGCAGTCTGGGTAAAAAGCAGCACAGGAAAATGAGTCAAGGATTGTGGCATAAGGGCCAGAAGAAATTAATCTCCAGCTCTCCATACACAACAAGAATGATCACATCAGCAGTATTCTGGCAGGATTTTCTCATGTGTGAATGGTTAGAGAGAAGGGAAGAAGGCAGCCAATTCTTCTTTCACTCTCATAAAACTCGGGCACCTCAAATAATTCATCCAGACTTTCTGATTCTTTGAAATATTCTGTGACAAACGTTCACAAAGAGGATGTGACCAATGTGCATCTTATCTATACTGAATACATGTCAGTAACTACCTAGAAGAGGACAAATTTTATCAGATGGTAGCAATTCTCCCTCTTGTACCCATCAGCCCCAAGGAAAGACCTCTCTGCAAAAAAAGTCAACAAACCGCTCATGGATGCACTGCTAAACCACTGTTCTAAAACCCCACTCATTAAACTTATAAAGCCATAAACTTATAATTTCAAAATCTCTAATATGTTTTTTTGAACTTTAAAATACAAATGAAGTTACACACTGATCTGTAAGTGGGCATGATCTGCAGATGTACATGAACTGAGAACCTAGGCAATGGAGAATTTCTACACACCTACATGTATTTCTCACCAAGGGTAGAGTGAAACAGGTGAATAGAACAAGCATAAATTTTTCATGAACAGTTCAAAGAACTGAGATGGGAATAACTGTGTTACAGTAAGTTTACAGGATGGGTGGAAGAGCCATCTACATTAATAATGCTTCATTTGATGAGTAAATATTCTTTGTGTGATTCAGTGGATTAATTTGTGATTAAATGGATTAATTTTGGAACTCTGTACCTCTTGGAACTTAGTGATGCAACTGGAACTTTGCAGAAAGAAAAAAAAATCCTTATGAACTGCAAAAAATGGTGAGTTATGCAGTAAAAGTGTATTCTGCCCCATCTTTGGCATATTTCCTTGAAAATTAGCACTGTGATGTGACAATTAATTTTCATGAGTAGGGTCCTTATTCCTTACGATTCCATCTTCCACAGGTCAAATTTGGAAACACTTCCTTCGATGATGCCTTCCTATTCATGTAATTAATTTCAACCTTTAGTCCCCAGTCTTATTAATCTATTCTTTAATGCCTCTTAATCATTTATCCCTGCTCTGCTTCTACTGCAATAGTCAATTGATGCTTTATTGAGCAATACAGTCTCCCCTATTTTTCCCATTTTATGTCCTCGTTCATACTTTCATAGTGAAGCTTCATCAAAGTTCTTGTATATTGTATAGTTTACAGAAATCACTGATTTCATACAATCTTTGGCTGATTATTAATCATAGCTCAAGCTGGTTTAGGTTAACATTTCACCATAAACCATGGACACTCAAATCAGCATTCACTTTCATCTTTCCTATACCTTAAAAAATAGTTCTAACATGATACCTGTATTTCCAAGGGTTTTTTTATTTCTGTGATGCTGTCAAAAAGTATTCGCTTCAGAAAACAGAAAATTATAAATTAATTTTTACTTGTGCAAGGAATTATTTTTAAAAACTTATTGTGCTAAATCGCTCAGCATATGCACTGATGCATGAATCCTGTGAAGGTGCATTGAGTCAAATTGGGCATGTATTTGTACCACTGCAGTACAAAGGATGAAAATATAGCAGGATCCACAAAAGCTTATTGTTAAATAAAATGCAGTAACAAGAGACATCATATGAAAAATGCTAGAGATTTTTTTATGAAAAAAGTTTTGAAAAAGAAAAAGACAAAAAATGTGGCAACAAGCTGAAGAAGTTCTATCTCAGTTCCCTGAAGAGCAAGTTCTACCTTTAAAATGTTTTAAAAATACTTTTCAGACAAAGAAGATATTTCTTCCTTATTCCTAACAAAGTTTGGATTTTGGCACAGACAGGATGTATGTGACTAGGACATGAACCCCAATATATTTTTAATATATGTTCAAGACTTGAGTTGCTTTTCCTCTTGGTTTTTGGGTTGGTTAGTTTGTTTGCTTGTTTGGATTTTTCCCTGATATGCATGTTTTGAAAGTTACAGATAGATTTATATTACAACTATATATCTTGCATGTCAACGAGGTCCATAGGCTTAGAAAGCATAGCTCACGGTGTTCTCTTTTCAGCCTCACTTTGTGAGTTTCTTTTTTTTTTTTTTAAATGGACTTTATGAATTGAATGGGAGATCAGTCCTTCTCTTGATATAGGGAAAACTAGCTTAATTTTAGTTCCATTTCAGGCTCAGCTTATTGCCTGTATTTTCAAAATCTGCTAGTAATTTTAAGACAGTATCAAGGCCTTCAAAACCACTCAAAACCTGGGTGTTTTAACATTACTGAGTGCACAGATACCTCTTAGTATCCCAATACCACCCATCTGTGAAAATCTGCTCAGCATCTTTTATGGCTGTTGTTGATCAATATGAAGAACCCCATGTTTTCTTGGCTTTAAGTCTCTGATGTAAGTCAATTATCATTTTGGAAAGGCCAAGCTTAAGCATTTTTTATAAAGTGGTTACCATCTAAATACACTTTTACTACACTTAGTAAAATCTTACTGCTGTCTACCCAGCTGATTAGTGTTTTTCTGTATTGAGGCTACTTACATTATCACACAAAAGGCTCTTATTTTTGGTGCCTGTTCCATAACAGTCACAGGGTTTGCAGACATCAATGGCTGAAAGATCTGCACCTGCTTGTCTGTAATGGAAATCCTTGCACAGCTCACAGTTCCTTCCTGCGTGAAAGAAAGGTTATGCATTATGGCTTCCAATTCATTAAAATTAGCTGTATAATTCAAAATTAAAGACTCTATTCCTTTGAGAGAATTCTATAATTTTCAGGACGTCCATTTTAATGCACCTTTCATCTCTACCTGCCAATTTAGTGATCCAGAGCATATGAAACAATGAACCTGTTACAAACTATGTTTTACTCCATTAAACTTCCATCTGTTATATAATACCACACTTATATAAAAGCTGTGCCATGCAAATGCCTATACATTTTTTGGAAAAATTATCATTGAACCTGAAACTTTTCTTTTTTCCCTATACTAGAAAAAGCCAAGAAAACTGAAATAGAAGTGTTAAAAATAGTATTCAAATATACTACTTACACAGAACAGAAGCCTTTACTCAAACCTTTACTCAGTACATTCTCTTTCGTGTGACTTACCGGCTGTATTGTGTTGGCAGTTATCACACACTCCACCGCTGCCTCTGTAGTGTTCCTGAGGAAAAGTGTCCATTGATAAGTCATAGTGGCAGCTTACTGCATGGCTGTAACATTGACAAGGTTTGCAATTATAGGCATGAACTTGGTCACCTGGACGAAAAGGCTTGTCATTGTACAATGGCAAACAGCGGTCACACTGAAATAAAAAAGTAAAGGAAAATACTATTGCTTTACCTTACAAGAACACTGTTATACTTTCTATATTTGTGTTTTATTCTATGCATTTTTCTCCATTTAAATACAAATAAAAAATATTTTTTTTTTAAATCTTTTTAAGTTACTTTAACAACAGATTAAAATCAAGGAAGGTGGGCAGGAGAATGACATTTTAAGTATTTAGATACTCAACACAAGCTAACATAATGAGATTCAGATATAGATAAATTTTTAAAGATCCAAAATGGTGCCTCCTGTGCTTGAGGCACAGAAAAAATATTCACCTAATGCATCCATTTGGGTGCATTTTAAACAATACCTGTAACTGTAGTTTGTACAGTTATCATTTGACCTTTTGAATGAAACAAAGCCTCCTATGACCAAATAAGTCATTTTGTAGAGAGTATCTGAAATATCAGCACTACTTAATGCGCATTTATCTCATAAGAATTTTTTTAATAAATACAAATCTCTACATATTCATCTCTGTCAAGTTATATTTTAAATATTATGCCAATGCACTACTACAATACCACGTACATTGTTTAAATAAACACCTAAACAAATTATCTTGTTTTCTTCAACTCTTTTCAGACTTCTTTAAGTGCAAAGACTAATTTTATTCAAAAACTTTTTTATTAGCTTAAATCCAGACCAGTAAAAATATTTTTAAGTAGTGCAGGAGCACCTTAGAAGCTCATTTTTATTTGGATGAACTCACAATATTACCTTCTAAGCAGAGCTTTGCAAAGAATCTGAAGTTGAAATAATCTTCAGTTTATAACAGACTACAAAACTTCAAGAAGAAAATTTACTGTGCCTACTGGTTCATCAAGAGCTAAAACCAAATTGGATTTCTTAAAGTTAACAAATGGATAGCATTTTGGACAATTACATTCTCTTTTTGGAGAACAATCCAACTAGTTTTTATGAAACTGGCTCAAAGAATTGTACATGTTGGCACTGGAGAGATGTTTGTTTAGAATTTTTTTACTTTAACTAGGATTACTAAAAGTCCATTATCAAAATAGTGGTGCCTTTCTGGATCTAAGAAACAATTTATATTGCAATTATAATTTCCATCTTTCAGAACAAATTTAATTGCTTCAAAATAAGTTGCTTTCTGTAAAGTATTTGGACAACTTCTTTCTTCTTAAGTTCCAGAAGTGTCCTCGTCTTTTGTCGTGTCTAGAGTTCTAAGCACTATTATAACTGTTTTGGCCCAGTGGGCCTACATCACCTATATGCTGATAATTAGGAAACTGTACTGAAGTTTCTAAACTGTTTCGCTCACATCTGATGCTGGGAAAGCATCAGTTTGGGTAAAATAAGAAACTGAATTAGAAAACATAAGCTTAAGGTAATCCAAGAATTGCAGAGCAACCAACTCATAATAAAAGCAACTTGTGAGAGAAAGTGAAAGCATGAGAATTTATCTGCTGAAATTGTGTTTTAAATAAAGTAAATTAACAGTAAAAGGTAAGATAACAATAGCCACTGCACCTTTTTTGCAATCTATTAAAAACAAAACAAAACAACCAAAAAACCACACCACCACCACCACAGTGAGAGCAAAAGGAGGTTTCAGGACGAAAACCAGCAAGGCTTCACTTAAGATCTTGAACTCTGATCTTTGTTTATGAGAAGAATCACTGCCTAATCGTGATTAGCCTAGTTTAAAAACACCAAGAGGAACGCGTGACCGTAACTGTTATACAAGTTTCACAGCTTAAACCTATTCAAGTCCTTGCCTCATTCGCAACCATCTTTCCTCTCTCTAGTCACTCCCTCTGCCTCTGCCTTGAGAAAAACCAGCATTACACAGCAGCATCAACCTCTGGTTTCAACAGCAGAGTTCATTCAGGCACTGAAAAACTTGAGAAGTGCAAGGAAAACCCATGCTCCCAGTCAAACCACCCCACTAATGCATCTTCCTCCTTGCAGCATGTCTATGGAAATACGTCTTCCTTGAAAGGAAAATAGTACAGGAACAGCTACCAACCTGCCAGCCTGAAATTTCCATTTATGCATGGATAACCACATAGTGTCTGAGAGCACTCGTCATTTTATTTCAGATTTGATCTTAGATCAGTTACTCATGCACACCTGTGCTTGCACCTACTGTTAAATGACACACAAGCAGTAAGGAGTAAGAGAGAAAAAGATGGTATCTGATTACACAGCATGGAGCTTCTTTGAACTACCATGTTTCTTGCTTTGTGACTTTTAAAACTTTGACAAAAAATTTTAAAATCCTTGGCAAAAAAAGTATTCAAAAGCTGGTAATGAGTGTGAAACAACTGTTGGTTTTGCAGTTGTCACACCTGTATTAATTAAAAATGAGCACTGGACCCCCACCTCAACCTGCTGAGTTCATCACACCTTTATTAGGTTAAGAAGTGCATTTAACTTCCAGACCTGCTGTGTTTAACTTTCACTTTTGGTAGCATGATGATGTACACATGGCAATCTTCAGGTCTTCATTCACCAACTGTAAACTCTACCTTTGTCCAAAGCATAGCTGCTGAGATTTTCAAAGACATTGAAATGGATAGGTAAATTCACAAAAAGCCTTTGACAAATCTGAACAAGGTCTAGTGGTAGATTTACAAAGAATGCTCATTACTGACAAAACAAGCCTTTCTCCATAACCGTAAAACCCACAAACAGGCAGATATCCTTATTCTCAGGTACATCTAGGCCTTTCAGAAAACATGTCAAACATATGGCTTTCCCTATGGACAATAACAAACATGTCCTTTTGATATATAAATATCTGAACCACTCACCTTCTGTGAAAACAGTTCTCTGAGAAAACACATGGAGTCAAATGGTCAAAATAACTAGCTCATCTTGGCCCAATTCATTAGTCTAAAATTATGATTAAAAACATATTTCCAATAATGAATTTAGGAGTTTTTGGTAAAATTATTATTAAAAGCTTACCTTCTCAAAATTCCTGAATCCAGCACAATTACAGAAAGAACACCAGTGGATTCAGCCTAAGCCTCTATGTGCCAAGTTCCTTATGAGCCACTAAGAATACTGAGGACAGTGCCTCTAAAGAAACAGTCAACAAACATTCAAAGAAATACTTCAGAAGGCAATGGTAACAACACTTTAAGACTTGCAATAATTCATGATCAACTAGAACCTTCTACTCCAACACTTTTAAAATATCCTGCTGCTTGCCTCTGGGTGGCATCCTTTTTTTTTTTAATGCTATGTAGCATTTATTCCCTTTTTTCTTTTCTTAACTTGTGTAGGAGTTCCCATCTCACACCCATCAAAGCTCAGTTCCAACAAACAGTGTACATACACACCTATAATACATGTATTATTTATATATATATATGTGCTTCTGTAATATGCATATCTCATTAACAGTACACAGATTTAGAGATCTGCTGAAGTGATATGAAGCGAAGTGATATGAATGCCACTTTCTCAGGCATTTTTGAAATGCTCTCTTGTCTTTGAAAAACTCCATTATGCCTATCACCCGACCATGTTTATTTATGCTATCCTGTAAATGTTGACTATAATAGGATAGTTAATCACATACTATTTTTCCTTCCTACAAGATCCCAGTCTGTACATGGACAGTATGCTTACACTTCATTTAGCTTCATTAGTCAAATAAATATGGCCTCTAGGCAATATCTATTCCAGTGTAGTTTAGCCCTGCTCTGAAGACAGTTGTCTTAATTTTCCCATGGGTTTTCCTCAGCACCCTCACTACAGCATTTAACTATCAGGACTGCATGTTAGCAGTCTTGAACTGCATGTGTCTCTTGTGAACTCCCCAAAGACCAAAGAGTTTTTAAACTCAAAAGCCGGGCTTTATGAGGAAAATATTTTTTTTAAAAAAGCTAGAACATTCTAAGTGACTCCATGTTACCATGGAAGGCAGAATAGAAATTGAGAGTGTCTTACAGGGATCCATCGTAATACTCCACGTACCTTAAAAGGATGCAACATAATTTTAGAAACTAAGCACAGCCGTAACAGGTGGTTTACAAATATCGTATGCCAAATAGCATTCTAAGAAAAGATACTGCTGCTGCTTTGCAATGACACAGTGACTGACAAAGAACCTGACTGAACATAAGAGCTACTATTCTGAATGCCAGATTCCAATAAAGGGACACAATTGAGAGCTCAAACACTGGCACAGATGTTGTCAGGCAGCATAAGATATATTTCTACTCAACTCCTCTTTCATTTACGATGTTTTTAGTAAGGATACTTGAAGCCACACTAAGTCCCACAAAATCAAAATGTATGCAACCACACTAATTCTGAAAATCACACTGCTAAGTAAATTAATTCATATTTAAATTCTCCAGGATTAAAATTCAAAGCCATTTTCAAATTAGGCTCCCGCTCCATCCAACTCTCATTTAGACTACAACCCTATAGGACCTCTGTAAAACAGAAGAGATAGAAGGTATGTTTTGTAGATGATGAGTTTGGCATGCATTGTATTTTACCAAAGCTCTGACTTACTCAGTATGTTAAATTATAAGAGATGTTGTATTTATTTTTCCCTCTTTATTACTTTTTCTATTTGGATAAGCCCTTGAATTCCATTCTCCTATAACATTAAAGTGCTGTAGGCACAGTTACTAGGGATCCTAGGGTTATTTTCACTTTTCTGAGGAAACTATTGCATAGGATTTTTCCTTTTTAATAAGAGTTATAGTGGGGTAAAAGAAAAAAAACACAACAGATTGGCTAGTCACTTGGGCACTTATATGGACTATGTGAAAAATCATAGAAATTCAATAAATATATGCAGCACTATGATTTACAGCAGCTATTTCCAACAACAGTGAAGTCCCAGCCCAGTTCTGCCTCAGTTTTGTTTCACATTAAATTAACTATCCTGCGTAGTGGATAAGGCCCTGAAAATCATTTTCAGACTGGAACAGCTTTCTTCAGTTTTTGAGGTAACAATAACGATCATAATGCTAGTTGATATCTGCCTACCTCTTAAGTGAAACTTACAAACGTCAGGTCAAAATGTGTAAAGGATAATGATCACCTCACAATTCCTTTGGTATGACATCATCTGTGCAACAAATCAAGAGGTATCTGAGACTGTAACAAGTTCTTTCAGTATTTCAGCAATGCTTGTACACAAATTGTTTTAGAAGACTGGATCTTTACACTGTGAATTACACCAGTTTTCCAGGGGTGGATTCATGGACACATCCATAACTTCCACAGACATGTCTAAAGTTATTTAAAATTTTCAGGCATGTAAGACTACTGGACTAGGTGTCTTTCTGCTCACTGTTTTCTAAAATTTCAGTCAAGGATCTGCCTGCTTGATTTCCTTTCTCTTTATTCTGATATAACCAGCTTCCTCCCAGACCTATCTTCTGGATACACAAATTATGGCACAGAGCTTACCAAAAAGTGCATTGTTCACTAGCTTGCTTGCTTCTCCAAGCTAGAAGTTTTTGTTATTAAGTTAATATTAAAGTTAATATTTACAGCTCCTCAAGTACTGTGTATCATTGATTCCAACATCCAACATGATGACAGAGATTGACCTTTAAAGAAGATTTAGACAGATTCGTCTGTAACAATATAAGAATCCTTATTTTTCCAATTCTTGATAAATCAACGATGCCATATCCAGTTTTCAGACAGCAGATGTCTAAGATTATTAATTATTTGCACAGAAAACTCTGAAGATCTGAAGTCCTTACTGTATCCAGTCACACTCTCAATTCCATTCATACCCTGTCAGGCATTTCTCAGAGTTGCTTTATTTAATTTAAATTCTATTTTCTATTATTATATCTAAAGTTATTCCTGTACATTTTGCCATTATCTTTCTCTATGAAGTTCTCTATGACTGATTTAAAGGAGGCTTTGAGATTGTGAGGTAAGGCTGACCTTGTTTGATCATCCTGTTCTTTCATGGGCTGTTTCCAGTGGAAAGTTTTTGAACATATCATTACTCATGTCTGTAAATTAGTATTTGCATATAAATGTTACCAAAAACTGGAATCTGCTCTTGGTGCCTCAGTTTTCATTTTTAAAAGGCAGAGCTATTTCCCAAAGTAGGACACAAGGCATTTACACAACAATTTGAAAATGAAGAAACTGAACATTTTTTATATAAGATGAGAGACAAAGCTCTGTGATGATTTATTTCCTCTTCTTTCTTAATCTGACCCCTCATGATCTGCAAGTCATTCTTAAACAGTTCCTTTTTCCCCATTATCTCAAATTTCACAGCAAAATATTTCTTCATCAAAATAGAGAGGAAAACAAAAGAAATTCCACTTGGTATGTCAAATTTCATAACATGGTGATGCAAATAACTAAACTACAATTTCCATTTGTAATAAATTAAGCAAATTTTTAGTTTCTGGTTTTGCTTTGCTGTGAAACAGCTCTCCAGATGTACATGCCAGAAAAATTTATGATACTAATTTTAGTTGTATTAAGTGTAAATGTGACAAGGACATACTCTACCATATGTTACGAGCTTGTCAAGGTATCTCTGATTTCTAGTCCAAGATACTAAAAAAAAAAAAAAAAAAAAAACCACGACAAAAGCTTTCCTATACCCTCTCAGTTGTGGTGACTTACTGTTAGCACAGGACAAAAGCTAAAAAAAAGACTGTCTGCTGACAGTGCAATTTCTTCTCAAAAACATTTGCCTCATTGTCAAGCAAAAAAGTTTAAATTTGGAAAGTTACTTCATCAAATGCTTAACTGGATCCAAAATAATAGTAATAAAAAATAATAAATGCCTAATTCACTGGGGTGAGAGCCTGAGAAACATACATATAAGTCTACAAGACAGAGTTTTATCAATGCCAATGATAGTCAAAAATCAGAATAGATTTTGGTTTTGCTTTTAAGTGCCTTACAAAAAATCAAAACCTTTAAACTATTTGGATTTCATGCAAATCCTTGGCAAAATTCAAAGTAGTTAGCAAGATATTTGAAAATATTTATTTTATTATTACTCCTATTTTATTTCTTATTTAGTAGACACTGATATGGCCATTAAAGAATGAGGGAAATAATTAAACAACATCCTTATTCTACTCTAAATGAATATAGTTAATTCAAGCATTTCAGTTATAGTTACAATGCATATGTGCCAAATCAAAAATGGGACACTCACTGAACAACCCATTAACATTGACAGAAAATATCTGATAAGGCAGATACATCATTAAAATGTATTTGGTTTGTTTTCACAAAGTAGCATAAGTCTTGCAAGAGTGCTTGGTGAACTTCCACATATTATTAAATATTTATAATTAATCTCTACAAAGTAACATTTCACAATGTGTGTTCTAATTAAAGGGACATTGTCAGTTTGAATTTTTTTTCTAATTTGACCCACCTAAAAACTTAGAATTTCTATTTAAATTCCATTTAGACTGTAGATCCTACTTAAAATCCTTCCTCTGCTTTAAAGTCTAGAAAACTTAGATCCTCTATGAAATTTTACAAAGATCTTTCACATGATCATAAGTGCAAAATCAAATGCACCCAAGTTAACACTTCTTGCCCTGTTCTAGCAAGCACAGACCCCGTGGGGTGGTGGGGGGAGGAGGTGCTGTGGGTGATGTGAGATTAGCCTCCCTTGACACTGCTGCTGCAACCCCTTCTTAATTTTTGGAAAGCCTGTTTCCGAAAGGCATAAAAGTAGCAAAGACCACAACATGTATTCATGGCGGAGACCTAACATTCAGTGGGACTGTGGTATCCATTCCTTTGATGTAACTCATTCCTTCTTAACCTCAACTTTTTTCCTTAAGTCACTCTAGGGACAGAATCTTTTTCATTATTCTTAGCTCTCCTCTACATATTTCTCTAGAAGACCATGACTTGCATCCACATTTGGTTGGCCAAGAATTATAAAACTAGCAGGAAAATTAGAATTTTGCTACTTGGTAAGTTTTAACTACACACTACACCTCATAAAATCCCTCTTTATTGAGAAATGCTGTTACTAAAAGCAGAGCAAAGCAAGGATAAGAATGTATTTTCTAGATTGTATCAATATATTTTTAATATGGCCTTTCAATTAATTCAAAGCAATTTAACCTTAATGTCAACTATCTGAAAATGCAGAGCAATAAAAAGTAATATTAAGTTTGTTCTAATATTGGAACAATCATGTTGCTACTACAGATTATTTTGAAGATAACCATATGTCATATATAACTGCAGAAAGTATGGGAAATTGACATTTTCAGGTTATCTTTAAACAAGTAAGTTCAAAGGTTAATTTTCAATGTTTTAAAAAGTCACTACATAAAACACTGGTTTAGATCAAAATTACGAATAAGACTCTCAAGAAAATAACTTGCAAATAAGTATCTATTGCCATGTCTCAGTATCCTTTTAACTGTGCTCAACTATGGGAGAGACATTTAAAATAAGCCAAGTGTTTTAGCTCTTCCTCTCTTAGACATATTTTGTACAACAACTGCATTAAAAGATCTCATTCTTAGCTGAAGTGAGAGACTGCAATCTACAGTTGTCCAAATTACCTGCAGATGTTCCAAGTATCAGAAGGCAAATCTATGTAAATGTTTTACCTTGTATTAGGTATCTAGTTCTGAAGCAAATCTCCACATTTTCTGCATTTACTGTGCTTTGGTTTGCATCATGGAGCTCTCCTGGACTACTTAAACTGTTCCCTTTCAAATGAAACTAAACTCGGAGCCAAATTCCAGGGCTGTGCCTACTGCACTCCATCTACTGAATTGGTCTGCAGACCACAGAACCAGACTAAAACTACTGTAGAGTTAAAATAAAATAAAAAAAAAAAAATCCCTGAAGCACACTTCCTGTGAACATTGGGTCTGCATTACCTTTCCATTCTACAGATACTTTGCTAATTGCTACAGCAGGTAAAGCCATAATCTTTATTAGATGCTGACAGTCTAAATTCAGGTTTGCATCTAGTGTTTGAAAGTGGCATAATCCTCTAATGAAAAATCAAATCCCTGAACACAGAACTCCTAATGATCTGTGGTTAAGTGGCTTTTGGCGTGGGGTGGGGCAAAGGGGGAAGGGAGTATCTTGCTTCCTTGTTCAATACAAACCCTGGTATGGAAAATTTCCCTATAAAAGCTACGACAACATCAACACACATACACACATCCTTTCCCAGAACTACAATCCCAATTTTGAGCCTGTTCATAGGTGACATAGATAGAAAAAGGAGAGACTAACATTATTTCCTTCTGTATAGCTTTCCTTGACGCACATACACCTATATGGTTCCGTAGCTGCATCACAGTTATCAGCATGACCATGGCAATTACACCTGAAAGAACAATAGGCAGTGAATAAAAAATTAAAACATGGAAACACATCTGCCTGACAATATATAACAAGGCCACAAAGACAATTTTGTGTATCACATAATCTGGTTCTTTAAGAGTAAACACCACCAAAGAGAATGTTCTTAAGTGCAATAACCTACAAAAGACTACTTCACTCAACATATTTTTCAGTATCAATTGCTTTCCAAGAAAATAAAAACCAGCATGTAGCAGAGCTACTGTTACCTTACATGATATGTAATGAAAACTATATTTCAGTTCATAATATTAACATGTAAAACTTTCTTAAATAAATGGCAATTATTCATCAATATTAAGTTGTACAGTGTGGCTATAGTTTTTCAAGAAATCTTAACTATATCAAGCATAATCTTCTAGTTTAACACATTTTGATCTCAGTTAAAATGTCCATTTCTTGTTAACTAATACTCCATAAAAATTATATTTTAGCAAGCAATAACCATCCCACTCTACCTGAAGAGCTGCTCTTCTGGAGGCATGACATAGCTTTGCAAACTACAGCTGAAATTACTGTTACATAGTCACCAAGATTGTGGTTCTCTCAGTAAAAGCATTATTATAACATATCTAAATCTATAATCAAAACATATTAGTAGTGTAGAAAATTTTAAGGTAAACGTGACCTCTAATGGGGTGCTTTCTCTCAGAATGAGATCTCAACTACCAAAATAATTTCAGGAATAATACTTATTAACAAAAATCTGCACCATATGCTTCTTGGGAACTGTTTCACTGCTAAATTTGCATATTATTTACATACATACTGCATAATTAGTCCTTTCACAAGACAGCATACTTATCATATACAATAAAGTTGTCAGTCACAGATAATGTAACACTTTTACTGACAGCTGCCCAGTTTTAAATGGAAAAGTACAGCTAAAACAAAGAATAAGCTCTGCATTAAGACTGTTAAAATCACCATGTCTGGGAATCTATAATGAAACTTGGAAGAGATACTGAAGTAAAGCACAAGCCACGGTTTCAATCATAAGCCTTTGCTAAGAGGCATTGGTAATTCCAAGGAAAGGAGTCCTCTTTGACAGATTTGTGTAATAAGTATAATTAATTTTAAAATAACATGTGAGCAAATGTTTTAAAAAAACAGTACACCAACCATTTCAAACTTGATGCACTGCTTCAGACTGAATTTCTTTCTCATTCGTAAATGTTAAAGCAGAACAACTTCATTAAATTTTAGGCAGGTCATTATATACTTTGCACAACTGTATTAGTTGGAGGCAGTGATAGGTGGGGAGAGTTCCACAATACCTACCTTCCGCTGACTGTAACTTCATTAACTCCATAGTATCTATGCCTAAAATTTACCCAAGACTCATTAGTATGATACTGGCCACGAAGATGAATCCTAACTTGTGTAGCTTTTGCAAATTCTTGGAGAGATGGAGTATTGTAAAAATCATTGTAACCAGGTCGGTGATTTGGTTCCGGAGTAAGAACACTGAAAGTTAGATTACCACGGGAATAAGGTGTAAAGCTGTTTAAATAGAGAGGAAGACAAATAAAAATCAAAATATCACATATTTTACAGAGTCTATCTCCTAATACTCTTTTTCTCAGAGAAGGTCTTCACTTAGCTGTGCATGGGGGGGTTTTTTTGTGTTTTTTGGGTAGGATCTTTATGTCAGTGAATTCTCGGTCATCAGATCCCCAGTCAGGGGAAAAGAAGTGTCCTTTATGTCTGCTTTTTTCCCAAACTGCCATGCTTTTCTCTAGATCCTAAGTTTCCAATTAACAGTAAAACCTTTAACAGACAACTGCAAAATAATGAACACCATGTGACTGATACAGTGCCACCCGCACCAAGTTTTCATAAAGTTTAACACAGTGTGTTTGAGAAACATGAGTTATGCTTGAACTACATAAGAAAACCAGATGACTAACATGGTAGTTAACAAGCCCATATTGTTAATTACATATCTACTAAACACATATAAAAACCATACAGAAGCAATTATATTTTGAATTCCAGAGTCACTGGAGTGTATCATCTCATTCAATGAGTGAACAGTTAGAAACACACGCCACCTTCCAATGAGTGAACTGCAAAGGGATTTAATGGAATGCAGCAGCAGTGAAAGTAAAACTGTATACATAAGCCAAAGAAGGGGAAGGACAGTCCTAAGAATTCAAGCAAAGGCTGAGTAAACAAGTAGATATAAACTGTGCATTTGCACAATTTGATATGAATCAAATTACTCTTAGCGAAGAGTAGAAACTTGCCTCTGCAAGTTGCAAGAGGCAAGAATGCCTGCTTATTTGCACACCTACATGGGCTCATTAAAAATAGGTATCCCATGACATCACCTGTCACCTGACACACAACATTCAAAAAATGTAATTCTCCCCACTTCAAAATATCTCTGAGCTTTTGAAAAATGAGATTCGCAGTTAGACTAGGTCTGCTGAGTCATACTCCTCTGTCTTCATGAAGGATCTTTGAATTTACTGTGCCCCTATCCAGGTCAGTGCTTCACAGAAATCCCAGTGGAATATATCTGTATGTTTCTCTGGGGGATACTGTCCTCTCTTCCCCGCCACAGAAAGTTAAATAAAGCATTTTTCTTCTATGACACATAGAGGCATAATGGAAGATGGGTACGAATCACAGGCTAATTACACAATCTTGGTATGGAAGCACCAGAAGGAACAGCAGAAGGACTGTAAGGCTGACGACACACAGATAAGCAGGTCAACCAGATCTTAGGGCATCTACAGACAGCTTTTCAGGAATCCAGGAAAACAAAGGAGATCTTAAAACAAGGGTCAGCCAATATTCAGACTAAGCAACGACTCAAGCCTCTGACAAGGGGAATAAAGGACAGTGAGCAACTCCTAACTGACAGAGGTGGTACAGGATGGATAAAAAACTTCAAACACTTTAATTTCTTAAAGGACACAGAAGACACATTCACTACTGGCATGTCGTCACCAAACCGCAAAACTTCAAGCCATATTAAGGATTTCAATGCCAAGGCCACTTGCCTTCTATGTCAACCCAAGAAGTCCTGGCTAGGCCACCAGGATACAAGCACACTGGTGTCTAAATCCTGGACAGACAATTTGGACACATCTTAGCACTTACGAGTGTGTGAGCACGAGAAAGAGAGAAATCAGTTTTGATTTACAATAAAAATACCTTCCCCTCCTACAGAAGTCTCAGAGCGAGCTCTGCTACACTGTTGACACAAATCTGGAGCATTGTTTCAACAGTAACTTCTGAGTACACAGAATATTCATCATTACAGGGTAGATTTCTTATCTTTTAAACAAAGGCTTCTGTACATCAGCTGTACTCAAAATGATTCATTCATATACCTTCCTATCATCATTTATGTCATAATTGAAGGGGAGAAATGGTGCCACTTACGAAACATTCATCCAACAGTTCATACTTAACTCCTTAGTTCTTTTTAGAAAATATACAAATCATATATCTGGGCTGGAAAGGCTATTACACCTCATTTGGGTTAATTTATCTAAAAACATTTGGCTATAAGAGATTTCCCTTCCTCTCTACCCTCTGCTCCAAAGATCATCAATAAAGCTCAAAGACCTTTGCTGAAAACTGGTGTAACTCAAACAACCTTATGCTCCTCTCCTCAGAATACTGAACTCTTGGAGAGCAGACAAAGATGCTGACACTTGAAAAGTCTTAGGAAGGTAGCAAAAGTGAAACAACAAGAAAAGCAAAATGCCTACAGCATTTGGTACTGTATTTTCTGACTGATTTCCAGGCAAGTACTAAACAAGCCTAATACTGACTGGCATCTGAAATCAGGCAAGAGATGATGCAATTGAATATATGTAGTAGTACAGGCACATATATGTATATGCATATATATATATATATATGCAGACACGCACGTGTGGGTGTGTAAAATTATAATATATAGTAACTGTATCTTATATATGTTATATGCTATACGTATGAAATGTATATTGTATGTATTACATATTTTTAAATTTGCATGTGCTGTTTAGTAAAAAAGTTTGCAACATGTTTCTAAAAGGTTATGGCCCTTCTTGTCCCTCCTCCTCTCCAAATTTTACTTTGGTTCTTGCTCAGGAAGATTAAAAAGCTTCAAGATACAATTTTCAACCCATTTCTTACATGTTTTGCAAAATCAGTAGTAAGGCTGAGTGACTGGCTTTTGTATTGAAGTTTGGCTTCTCTTCTAAGGTTCAGAACAAGTTGCAGATCATAAGTAATACTTTCACTAGATAGTTTAAAACAACGTTCTATCAGTAGCTTCCTTCACTCTTCATCTCAGTGTTTTGTAATTCTACAGACAATAGCCCCTCAAAACACAAGCATGTAAGATTTCAAAAGTCTAGCTCAATAATAACAGAGGAATCAATTGTGTCACATTCCTCAATGTCTGAAATCTGATAAAGTGACAGATGACCTTTTGGCAAGCTTCAATTGAAAGGTAAAATTTGGGATCTTTTACGTACTCAGCAGCCCATAATAAATGAGTATAACAAATTAAAAGATTCTGTCTCATTGGGACATAGAAATGAATTGTGTCAGAATGTTACCTTTCAAAGTATCTGTATTATGCAGATAATACCCAACTCATACCTAGGAAGCTGAAGGCAGTTGACAGAGTCTGGTTCTTCCAGAGATCCATTGTTATCCATTCCAAAAATACTGCAATTTTTAGCAAAATACTGCCAGTCTTCCCAGTTTAGATCATCTCTCTTTTTCCTTTCAATTCTTACTGCTTCAGGGTGTGGGCTAAAGAACTGCAGTATAATATAGAATACCTAGAAAAAAGTTAACAAATTTATAAACTGGTATTAATAGCTAAGTTGTAAAACAATGGGAATATAAACTTTTTTAAAATGTTACAATATAGTTCGCTTTACCACTTACAAACAGAAAAAGAACCATTTTTTCAGCCCACACATTCCCAATTTAGAAAAGGTACCCTTTTTTGTTAAGCGAGCTCTTTGTTCTCTCAGGCATTACTACACAACTGAACTGTTGCATCACAACTTCACTTTTTCTTGAAGACCATTTGAAAATGCACTGCAAAGTCAAGTCCATAATTTGCTACAGTAATATTATTTTGGCAGAAATGAAGGGCATAGCTTTGTGTTGCCAAACATTTGATGAGTTGTTTGTCTGATAACAGGTAAATTACTATTTTTTTTAGGAATCTATTTTTAGCTTGGAATCTCGTCAAATACCTTGTGCTGCATTAAAGAGCACTTCACCCAGCATACTGCTTATGCAGAAATGTGAATGTGTCAAATAAGCCAAGTCTTAGAACTTCACAGACATTTGAACTCACTTTTAACTAAAGGACTAATTCTCACTTATGTAGCCAAAATCTGTCTTCAGATTTTTTCCCTTCTCCCCATTAATGACTAAAAAGAACAAAAAAATAAAAATTCTACTGCAGTCAGCTTTCTACCAGAAGCTATAAAATAAGCACCTCAAGTTTTAATAGAAATTGAAGTTAAAATTTACAAACATGGAATTAAAAGTGAGCAATCAATTTTTTAATATTGGTGTCTTCACACAGGATACCCACTCTGTTATATCTATTCCAGATTACTGCTTCTTACAACAGCCAAGGCACATCAAAAGAGAATTACAAGAACCACAAGGCATTCTGTTGCCTTTTACATTATTTCATGCCGATAAAGGAAGTTTTCTTCCTGGTCTCCCAAGGGTAACGACTTAAAGCATAATGGTTTGAATTTCCTCAAAAGTGTAATGAAATGCCTACAAAAATATTTTCCTAGTTTTAATCTAGTAAATAACAAATGCAATCTTCTCATTACCTGATACTGTCCATTTTGTAAATCTATTGTGATAGAAACACCATGATCCAGACCTGCAGTATTAGCAAACACAGATGAAATCCAGGTGGTCCCAATGTCATCATCATTAATGTAATACAGAGGATGAGCTTCTGCATCCAACCTCAGCACTCTGTCGTTAGTGGTATCATCTGCACCATTAGGGATGCAGTACCTCTGTATCAGTGGGTGTACCCGGGGGTGACTTCCAGGACAGCGGCACTCAGACTGGGTATGCAGATGAGGAAATTTTCCAGAGAATACCTCCAAAATATCTCTGTCACAGCATATAAAAAAGTAATTACATAGATGATAAAAAGGACAAGTGCCACTTTGTGCCTCTAGGCTCATAGACTAAACAAAATTCAGCTTAAATTATAGTAGAAGCTCTAAAGACCTTGTTTCATCTCACATATATGGGGCAATCTGCTAGGAATCAGGCCACCCACTGTCCCTAAGTAAGCACCTTCAGAAAGGTGTCTGTGAAGAAGCACTCTGGAGTTGCTTCCTTTGCTCCACAGCCACATAGGGAGCCAAGAGAAATGTGCTCCTTGTTGGTGTTTCTAAAGCTCAGTAGGATGAACCTAGCCCTAGATGCAAGGAGAAGAACTCTTAACATTTTATTATGGCATCATGTCTGACTCCAATCAGTGATCTGGACACTGTTCTTAAGCATACCATAGCACTGGCATATTGCCCATAATCACATAATGTCTGTTTGCACTCAAATCTTTCAAAAAGACGAGCTTGAGCAATATCACATTGCACCTTAGAAACCATGAACAAAAATATTTCCACTTTCAACTAACTTTAATACAAATGCCTACTTTTTTAGCTGACCCAGTCTGTGATAACTCTAGTTGCTTCTTACAGCCCATGTCAAAGCCAATGAGTCATTTTAGTTCCCTTTGACATCAGCAACTGAAATAGACAGACAGGCAGGTAGGCAAGCAAATAGATATATGAATGACATAGGCAGGTTATCTAAGCCTTTATCTGCTCATCTCTGGTGTTAAAGAAGGATTTTATGAGCCTAGCAGATAACGAATCTTTAAATTAAAAAAAAATAAATCTTACTTTTCCCATTTTCTTACTTTATCATTATTTATTTTATTTGTATACAAATAAATACTTGCTAGCTGCCACTACAAATTCCACTGAACCCAAAGTTACAGGACGTTTTAGATAGCCATAAACTTAAATTAATTTATACATAAGCAAGATTTTCCTTCGCAGATTATCCCAGATAAACATTTTGGACCAAGTTATTTGTGAATATATAAATACATCTACAAAGACATCATTAGATCACAACACTGTAAAATACCTTTTCTTTCAATTTTTAAACTTTATTCATTTCACTGCCTTAAATTGTAGTTCAAAGGATTTGACAGGTATTGCTTTAAAAGAATACAACCAACATGATTTTCATATAACTTAGAATTCATATTACTACTTTAAATTCACAGGAGTTCAGTTCATCGTAATGTCCTGCAGACAGCTGAGCTCCTAAGAAACTGCTCTACATCTTATTGAAAGACTATCATTAAGTAGCCTTAAGGTCTGCAGTCGTGAGTGTCATTGCATATAGCCTACCCAGAAGCACCACGCAGACAAATAGGACCTGACTACTTCTGGCCAGCTTGAATTGTCTAGATAAATCCAGCATGAGCTGGATAACAAAGGTAACATTTGTTTATAATGCGCTAGGAAGGGAGGCTGGAGGGCAACAGAAATTGCAGTGGCAACCATTATTTGGCCTCAGGGATGAAGGAAGTCAAAGCAATTGCCCAGGGCTATGTGGGCTGAGTTAGCAAAGTCATTAGTGGTTTATGGTGACAACCTAATATAGAAAGCAATGAACAGTTAAGACTACACCTTGGGGTAGGAGTGTGTGCATGGGGTGGGGGGGAGCATCAAGAATACCCAACACGGACATCTGATACCCTGGGGAAGCTGAAACCAGAGGAAAGGAACTGCTAAGCACAGGAGCCATGCTCACAGCCATGAAGTCAGCATCCTGACTGGTTGGAGTGCCTGTTTTCTTCACTAGGATCAAGTAGTATTAAAGTGGTCTTAAACTGGACTGGCCCATTATGCTCCCTTCCTCACCTCACAGTTCACATGGAGTTCTGGGAAAGCTTGGCAAATCTCATCGAGCAGGACTAAGCTTATCAGCACACACTCTTATGTCAGAATTATGATGAGCTGATTAACATCTAAATAGTTTATAGGCATTGAAATCTAGCAACTGGATCTACTCTTTGCAAGAACACTTATGAAGTCAGGTAGTAACAGGGACAACAATAACAAGGAAAGCACATACTTATTAATGAGTGTTGAGTTACACCACATATATACTACATATACTAGTCTATATTTAAGCTACAGTTCAAATGCAAAACACATTGAATTGTTCAATTTCTTTTAACTCAAGATGTTTCAGATTAAAAGTCATCTTTGAAATGAGGTTCAGTAAGCTGCATAATCATAAGTGATCATCTGAAGGAGACACCAGAAAAATTCTATTCTTCAGGAAATAAGCATATTGTAATCTATTCTTTCTTCTTGGCTCACTTCTATTTTTTTTACAAAAATAAATGTTCTTTACCTGTTTGTAAGTGCCACTGGATAAAATCGAAAATCTTGCATTCTTCCAACAAATTGCTCTAAACCTAAGAGAATATACCATAAATAAGTAATCTATTGAGCAGAAGGCAGCTTTGCACTGCTTAAGAGCACCATCAATTCAGTACTCGGAGATCTCTTTTGCACAATTACCCCTCCTGAATGAAACCATCTTGGACCTGGACAAAACTATAGAGGACAGAGACTTAAATTTTTTTTAGAAGAAGAATGATTTATAATAACTTTATAAGAACATTTTGTACCTATCTCTTTTCTGATTAGAGAGGTGGCACAAGGATTGGCTCATTAGACAGAAGTAATGAGCCAGTCCATGTGCCACCTCTAATTAGAGAAGAGATACAGTAGGTACAACGGTACCTATCAATTTATACAATAAAGATAAAAAGCATTTCAAAAAATTCCTTTCTTCTATACGTATATTAGTTATCCAGTATTCAGAATCAAAATCACAACAAAACACATTTCCAAATAAAAGCTTTAAAAAATGGGGCACAGAATTACTTTCTTGCCCAAGAGCGAAATAAAGTTGTTTAAGTAACACACAGTTGTATTTAGGAGTTAGCTTCAAATTCTTCATGTTCCTGAACAGCAATAGGCAGTGCTCTTAGATCTGCAGAGCCAAGATTTTGTGAAGAGCAACAAAACATCCCCCAGCTGTTTTGCAATGATCATGTCATGCTATAGTACATATAAAATTCTAGATGTAGACAAAGAGTAACACTATCAGGCATTACTAAAGGCTGAGGGGTTCTCATTCTGCTAGTGGTTTACGTGAGCACTGATAGAAGTGAAGAACATAAACAGTCATAAATCTTCAGCTCTATCCCTGACTCTGGAGGAGTGTAGTCTAGCAGCCATGCACAATCTCATTCTGAAATAGTTTCATATATTTACTCAGAAAAGCTATGATTGTAAGTTAATGGAATGTGTCACCTTACAGAACTAGGTGTTCAAGAATGCAGGAAAACCTACCTATATGCAGTAACACAGAATAAATTATGAACCTACAGGATCACCTACCAAACTTCTATCTTTCAGCCAATCTTTTGGAAAGCTAATTGTACAAAACAAAGTTTCTCCTGCAGAAATATATTACTTTTCAGCACATAAATAACATAAAATTACTCATACAGGGTTTTTTAACCACATTGTGCACATCTTGTTTTCAGTATTCCAGTGTATTCCACTAAAATACTGCAAAATTTACCTGTGAAACTTTGTCCAATTCGCAGTGTACCATCAGTATCTGCAACTGTTCCCACAAGAATCCTTGAATCAAAAGGTGTGCTGTCATCTTCCCAGCCATTCAAGAAGAAACTAATTCTCCTGTGATGCACCTACAGAATCAATGCAAATGGGCAAACACACGCTTCAATATGCAATCACTGATTTCTTTATATGTTGCATCTGTCACTGATTAACCGTTAACATTACTTCGACCTACTTGCTGCATGTCTTTATTTTCTGTGCCTACTGAAAGTAGATACATTCTTTCTGTCCATCCATTAGCAATCCACTTAATAAGATCATCACTCAGATGCACAGAGTATAACATTTCTACAGCAGTTAAATCAAAGAGGAATCTACGGTACAGTGATCTGGTGGGGAGGGGGAAGAGAGGAAAAGGAGAAGGGTCTGTTTCACAAGGTACGAGGCTGGTTACAGCTACTTCACCACTTCAGGCCATGGGCACATGTTACAGCTGTCAGGGCTCTTCTCGTACACATCAGCTCACACAGGCCTCAAGGGGCTATCTACCATACTCAGGATAACCCAACGCAGCATGTTTCAGCCAGGCCTCTAACACCCCTCCAAAATGCCTCCCTAACCCCAGCATGTTTCTTTCTACAAGGGCTGAAGGGGAATGGTATAGGAACTGGCTACATCTGCTTTACACCTAGTGGGTAATTCCCTTACATCAAGGGAATCCTTGGCTAGGAATATGCACTCAGCCAGCACCCCAGGGTACTGTTTTCTGCAAGCGTTCCCTTCCCTGCCAATTCATTTTAAACTTGAGCTAACATTCATAGAAATACTTTATGGCATTGTCCCAGCTCCACAAAGTCACAACATGCTGAGCTTTTACAAAGTACATTTTTTGCACTAAAAATCCTCATGTTTAGGTTACATAAAATTAGAAAAGGTTTAATAATATGAGAGTGCACTTCAGCTTTGCAGTTCACGCAATTCAATACTCATACAAAATACAAGCACATACAAAATGAAAACTGGAGGCATCATGGCTATAGTCAGCTTCCCATTAATGAAGTTAGTTATAGAAACTAAGTTCAACTTACTCTGCATTTTGAACTCTGTTGAATTGTTTACTGAATAAACTTAATCTTATTTATTTGAGAAAGTTTTTTAAACAGAAATTACTTGATTTTTAGCAGTATTTAGCTTGTATAAGGCTTATTTCCCATGAGAGGTTGTAGCTTTCAGATTCTGAAACATGGTTTTGTCGTTGCCAATTTACAGAGCATTATTTCCATTTTGTAGATATGGATGCCTGGTGAATTGTGTCTACAGAGGCCAAATAAAACTAGAGTGCTTTAGCCTGTCCTGATACCCACTTTAATCAAAACAAAATAAACCTGGAATAATCGCTTCCATAAGAACAATATATATGTGAGGACAAACATTAGGTTTACAAGCCAGAATAATCTGTTGCAAAGAGGGAAGCCAGAACCTGAAAAAATATCAGTTTTAAAACAACAATGCTATTCTACCAATAAAGTCTTTTAAATTTTAGACCAAGATAAACAGACACAATTATCTATAAATCTGAGCTCAGATGATCAGCATCAGTGCCTCAGACAACATGAGTCTATCAGTATTTTAAGAAAGAAAATATGAAATGAGATGGAGGTTTTTGTATGGATTTTATTCTTTTTTAGGCTTCACACAGAATTGTACAGACAAATTTTTCTCCTTAAGCTGCACTTACAAACATACACATGCATGCTGAGCTTTATTGCCATTTCCAGACTCAGTCAATATTTCCCAAATTTAGACAGGAATATTTATTGCCCTTCCACTGATGGAAATTTGAAGGCTATTATCATAATTACTAGGCCTTGAGATTTGTTCAAAAAGTTATTGCATATGGATTTCACCACTCAAAATACATCTCTCCATTTTAAATTATCCTTTGTGTTGACACATCAATGTCCTAAATATAACAGTTTTTTATTTAATTTTAATTCAAAGCCCTCTAAACATCTGATGCCCTATTTGCAAGAGCCTAAGTATATGTGTATGTGGTGGTTACATTGCATTTTTTTTCTGCATCACATTTTTTACAGCCTGTTACTGTCATTTGGTGTTTGACTGTTATCATCGTAAAAGATACAGGCTTTTCTACTTTGTTATTTGTAGCATTATCTCATGTTTTACAACATCTTTGCACAACATGCCCGCACATGAAATATAACTAGTGAAAAGTTCTCAGTGGTATTAATGCATAAAAAAGAATGTGGTTCCATCTCTACTGTCTTTACCCAGCCAAAAGCTGATGAACAGCCAATTTTCCTTTATCACATTAGCACAGCCATGAGGGAAACACATTTGTTCTAGTCAGCTACACTAAAGATACTATTACCAATCTAACATATACATGTTTTATATCAGCAGTATTCTCAGAGTATGAGGGAGCCAACAATATATTAACACTAGCATGACAGTTTATTTAAGAAAAGAAAATTGTCTCTGTAGAGGGACAGAAGTTAGAAATGTATGGCTAAAGCTCAGTGTCACTGGTCTAATAAAGGTAATAATTCTTAAGCTTTCTTTATAGCAGGTAACACTCCTGTGGCAGCTCTGTCATATCATTCAAATAAAAATGTTGTCTTTTACAAGTTTAAGAGTACCTTTATTTTTAGTCAGATATGAAGCATGTTTCTGCTTTCCTGTTTTCACTGTAAAACATTTGTAAGTAGAATTCAGAAGCGAGTGCACTCATCCTGGCAGCTCCTTGCAAACTGACCATTTCAGCCGCAGCTTCTATAGGACCCGATTCTGCCTCCCCCAGTGGTAAGCAGAGTGCTTGTCTTCACGCACCCGCTACTAAAATCAGTGGGACTATTTATGACTTAACAGGGACAGCATTGGGCCCTAAATGACCAGGTATTTTTACTTGTTGAAAATAGGTGACTAATGACAATTTTAAATCTCCCTCCCCCCTCCCCCACCACCAATCTCTTTGTATTAAATAGGATTTAGAATAGTTGGGTTTAATATAGCACATCCCCAAGGTAGCCCTAAGCACTTTACAATGCTGAATTGGATATCAGTAGTGCAGTGACTGTGTAAGGCAAAGGCAGCAGTCATTATGGATTTGGCAGTAGCTCAATGTAATGATCCCCCTGCTGGTTATTAAAGGGGGTATGAATATCTGACATGGGAGGAAAATGTAGGAGGGAAACCATGTGTGGTATAAAAAAAAAAAAATCCCAGCGGGTCTCCATTGTGGGAGGAGAGGAATGTCTCAAAGTTTGGTGTCAGTTTAGACTAAGCTAAATAAGGGGGAAGGCTGGCACCAAATCGGCTGTTTGATGTGGTTATTTGAGGTCTCCTGACCATTAGTATTAAATTGCATACAATACCACAGAAATAAAAGATGAATTTCACTCCTGACTAGGACAACAGGATTATTCCCCTGTTGTCTTTATTAATAAAGTTTTATAGGAATTTTCCCCAAGAGAACCTCAGGAGATGGGTAGGAAAGGCTGACCTTATGGTTGAGCAGAGCGCTGGACCAGAAGCCTGGGACATGAGCGCTCTAATCCCAGCTCCAAAACCACTTCTCCCTCCTGTGCTTCCCCATCTGTCAAATATTTCACAAATCACCTTACAGGGATGTGGCAAGGATTAGTTACTAAGATAAATTCACTCTGTAACTACATTAGCCTTTGCCAATGCAGAGCGTAATACCAATTCCAAGCAAAGGAAAAATCCATTTGATGGTGAACTGAGATGGTGAAAGATATCCACAGTCTTTCCTAAAACAGCATTCTTGTTATGATCCAGAAGAGTTTCAAAGATGAGAAGTGCTGGGCCAATGAGCTGATAGGCAAGTTCCTTCAGTGCATCCCAAATGGAGCTCTTATGGTCCTCCATCACAAGCATATTGCCCATCAGAGCCAGCAATACCAAATCCAGCCACTTCTTACCTAGGAAAAATTCCCTACCCTACAGGTCACTGTAGTGCAGAATGAACAAGGGCACACTGAAGGACGAGCTATGGCTTATAAAATGAGATAGGGATAGAAAAGGCAATACAACTGTTTATTTTCTCAACTAAGTATCTCTGTTACTCAGACTCTACCCATGAAAACATAACTATGAAATTTAACATTAATTTTGCCACTTGGTTTGGACCAGGCAGAGCTGTCATGTAAACAAAAGCCAGTATTTTCATGTATTGACTGCAAACAGAAACTTCCACTAAACTGCAGTAACTTGTGTGGCAAAAAAGCAGCATCACAACCAAATACTGCACTTCAGAGCAGTTGTGCTGCTAAGACTAAAGGACTAACTGTAGCAAAAAGCAGAAGCAAGGGAGCATATAGGAGCATGGTAAGTGCATATGACACTGCTCCTGAATACTTTTGAACCTCAAACCACTGGTAGTTTAAAGATTTCATCAACCAGACATGGTTTCTATATATTTAGTGGCTTTCCATGGATTTCTTTAGCATGATTTTGTATAGCTGCTCCTTGAATGCAAAAACTTATACTTCCCCCAAAGGTGCCCACTATACAGATTGATTCAAGAATACTGTGTTTTGTTTTGTATTTTTTAAGCCTTGAACTGTGTGTTATCTATAGGTATAATGTATAACAATATAATAAATGTATAAACAAATACATAGTATCACAGGGATAAATAAACAGTATAACAGGTATAATAAAAATATTTAATATTTCAATAAAAATGCTTTTCAAAAAAAGCCTAATAATCCCCTTCATTAACACAAATGCAGAATACATTTTGAGTATCAAGTAAAAGACATAGTTACATTGATTCCCCTTTGAGCTAGATGGCACTTTCCAAGATAAAGCAAATTTGGGGGAATTCTGAGACCTTAACCTACACAGTTTTGGCTTTCAGGTAATAACTCATGTATATATTACATTACAACAAACATGTGTGATACCTGGCAGGTTTAAGCAACATACACTCCTTTTTCACACACGTTAATCATCCTGTCATCAAAATGTCCTGTCACATGTATACAAAGGCATCCAAGACATTTCACTCAGAATCACAGAATCGCTCGGTTGGAAAAGACCTCTGAGATCATCATGTCCAACTGTTCCTATCTACCCCCTAAAC